GCCCTCCCCGGTAAGGGATTATCACCCAGGCTCACGGGCAGGGGAGCCCCGGCAGAGGAAGGGTTTTGCCCGCGGTCACAAGGCAGGAGCGTACCAGAGCCCAGCGGTGGTGCTGCCAGCCCCGACGCAACCTTTGCACGCAATGCTTGCAATAATTTACTCCTGTAGCAACGTTTGCCTGGGAGCAAACGGTGCAGAGTGTGATGCGGGAGAGGAAGAGGCATTAAACTGCAGGAGAAACCGAAATCCTGGTCTCAAAGATCTCATTTCTATCAGCCTCCCCTGGGAACAGAACTAACCCCTCCAAAGTTTCAGCTGGGCAATCTCCATCACACCAGCAAGCCAGGAGGAGCTGTAGCATCCCTCAGCCCGTGTAGAGAGATGTTCTCCCTAGTCCCCACAGCCCAAGGCAGAGACTGCAGACGGTCAGAACACACAGAAAGCGGGTGGGCTCAGCACCAGCCAGGGTGAAAGGCATCTGGGTTTTACCCCTGGCTCGTTCACACACTTTTAGCTTTTCCAGGCCTTTCTCAGGCCAGCAAGTGCAGACAATACTCCCCCACTTCAGGAAGGTGCTCCAAGGCTGACCTCAGAGTGACTGTAAAGTGCTTTTAGAGCTTTGGATAGAAAATGGCATCGGAGAACAGGACGGTGACACCCCGGGATTTGATCTCTTGGGAATATATAACAAGGAGTCTTCCCCGGGTAACACTCTCCAAGTGCTGAGGAAGCTTTTCAAGTCTGACAGGTGAAATGAAACTGAAAAATGCATCTGAAGCAGGGCACGCCGATCCTCTGGCTCGTTTTGGAGTGCACCATTGTCAATACCCTATTTCCCTGTGTCTGTGTGTGTGTGTCCCATTGCTTTTTGCTGCTGCTTTTACTCCAGTGTTTGTGGTGAACAAGCGTGCATATCTGTAACTCCCAACTGCTGTCCTCAGTTTGTCCTCAGCTCTGATGAGTCCATCAGCGACACGTTCTGCATGAGAATGGCCTGGCAGAGGCACCCATCGGGGCTGATGGCTGCCTGGGGACACAGGCTGCCTGCACCAGGCAGGGGCAGCCCTGGGGGCTCTGCCCAGGGCGCTGGGGACCATCCTCCGCCTGGCACCCCTGTAACTAATCCAGACCCTCACCCTGCAACCTTTTATTTGAGTAAATCCTTTTCAAAAACGAGTGCTGGCAGAACCAAGCCTGCCTCCCGCTGCAGAACCGCCAGGGCCGTACCGGGGTTCGTGGCACTTGCATGCCACACTGCAGCCAAACCAGCATCCCCGGAGGTGGGACTGCCGAGTTTCCTGGTGATTGTTTGAACAGGATGTTATGAGCACGTACCTCAACTTAAACTCTTCTTCTTGGATCCTGTCACTCAACTTTCCTCAAGAATTTGGTTTGCTGCCTGGGAAACAACGTTGGCTTCTCCCTCCTGCCGTACCTCCTGCATGCTCACACAAGCACACGCGCATGCACTGAGGCCATCCTTAATTAGTTCCTAAAGCATCACCTTAGAAAGACAGAAGGAAGTAAAGATCAGTCACAGGCTGCTCCTGCACGGCTAATCCCAGCACGCAAACCAGACAGAAAATTGCCTCTTTCCTTGTTTCAGTTTTTCGGCCACACAGTACAGGTGAATGAATATTGGTGGTTATGAAAATGTGCAATAATTAACTGCAATTATTAATTTACACTTAGGAAAATTTACATAAGGCTGTATGCATCATTTTAAAGCCAGGGAGGAATATCGTGTTCACACGCACTGGCATCCCCTGCTACCCAGTCCACGCATCTCCCTGAATGAGTTTCAGTTAAGATTAACTATTATTTTTAGAGACAAGCTAAACATGCTGATGTGGCCAGTTGACCGCAGAACCTGATAAGTTTTTCCAATGTGAAAAATCTGCACCTTGTTTTAAGGCGTCCTAACTATTTAGGGTCAAATCCTGCAAGCACCCCCAGATGCAGTTTTTTTCACCTCAACAATCCTATTCAGTCGAGGTACACAATTCACCCTGCGTATATGAAATAGAAAATCTCCCAGCTGGGCTAGGAGGTAGAGGGAGAAGAAAAGGAAGTGTGGATGCTATTTCCAGCCAGACCACCCGTAAATATCTCTTAACTCGTCATTAGTGGTACTTTGCTGCTTAACTCCTTGTTTATAAACCACTACTGGGATATCTTCACAATGAAAGGCACTATAAAATTTCCTACGCTCTCATTTGCAATCGAAAGTGTCAGTAATAAAAGAGAAGCCTTGTGGGCTGCCGCAGTTTTACCTTCCACAAGGGCTTTTATAGGCTGCCCTGTGCCCGGGCAGCCAGGGAACACCTTCCCAGATAAAACGGATCAGACACATTCCCACTGATAGTGAAATAACTGCTGGAGAGCTTATTTTCCTGCTCTTGGAAAGCTGCAAAATAGCAGCTTAAGGCGAGGGAGTCTTTAAGCGTGCGATCAACTCCATTGTCCTCGGCGGGAATACATCCAGTTTTCCAGACCCAGGCCTTCCTCCCGAGCACAAACAGAAATGAGACCGTGTACCAGTGGGCGAGGAGGCGATTTTACGACCCACCTGCCTTCATACACATCTCTGAACCAAGGAGACCTCCTGGGTATGGGTTATGGCGAGAATCGGGTTAAAAATCTCCCTGTGAAACCCTGACCCCTTTGACATCTCGACGCTTTCTGTCCGGGCTGAGCTGCCTGTTCACCTTCCGTACCCGAAACCTGTCCATCCCACGGAGCCCAGCCGCGGGAGGTGAGCTGCCCTGCCCCTGGGGAGCTGCTCTGCCCTGGGCCACCCGCCGCCGTCAGCCTGTGCCAGGCTCAGCGGCGGGCAGTGCTGGGGTAGCATCTGGAGGGGGAAACTCATACCCGAGTTTCGGGTCCTGAGTGGGATTTTCCGGGGGAAAAAAAACATTCACCCTGTAAACTGTGCTTTTTAAACAATTTATTTGAGGTTTCTGTACAGAAAAACAACCCACACTGTTCAGCTGTCAGCCAGACCTCCACCCCGCGGGTGAAGTTTAAGCCTCCCGCACGCTGTGGGTACCCACAGCCCTCTCCCTTTGGCTCCACGCTTACCAGCATCACACGTTTTACCTTCCATGGAAGTGATCAAGCGCATAAAATTAAACACGTGGCTAAATATCTCTGGGATGGAGATCTTAGAGGAAGGAAGAGTAAACATTTATTGGCACAAACACACGGATACATACGTGCAGCGCAGCTCTGATGTTGGGGTTCTAACGACTAGTTTTGGGTAGGAAAGCGAGAGGCGGCTCCAAACCTTCCCCTCAAAAAGGATTGCTCTCTACGACCGATCAATGGCGCACGAAGGTGTGCTGGG